ATAATTTTAAAAAGCCTAGAAATAATGATCAAATCAAAGTAGTGGCATTCTCAGCATCCAAATTTTTGTCTTTGAATATTATTTCCCACTAAAAGAGACCAATTCTTCTCAGAGGTGTGTCTGATTCTAGGTCTTGAGCCAGATGCCTGTAATTTTCATTGTCATATCTGACATCACCTTTCTTTTCAGCTTTTCCTAACCCCATTGTCTATTAGCCCTTGCTGCAGTCTTTATGGCTCAGAAATTCCTCATTACCATTATAGTTGAGTAATTACAACTGCCCAGTCTTTGCTGTTTTAGATTATTATTGTACAGATCAGAGGGATACCAGTTCTGTAGATGCCTCCCCAATCATCATTGTTTGCTTACAAAGTCCCTTGAGCTTTTCAACAATGTCAGTCTCCTTTTACTAGTGGATTTTTCTTCTTTCTCATGATCCCTCCCATGAATCACTATCAACTTACACATTCTCTGGACCTTTAAACAAATTCATTCCAGCATTCCTACTCAGTGGTTCAGCATTTGGGGTAGGTGTTTTCGGAGTTTGCAATTTGTGCTTTCTTTCAGGTGTGATCTCCACACACTCCTTTTCTGAGGCTTATATTGCTTCTTTGTTTCCCATACCTCTCCTCTCGTTTATTTCTTTTTATATTCTCTTACTGTTTATGTTTCTTTATAGGGAATATAACCAACCTCTTTGGAAATGCATTGGTTGTATCTTTCTGCTCCCTCCAGAGGATGATACTACCTCACCCTGCTGAGGTTGGGGAATGTTAATGCTTCGCATCAAACATTTGAGAGTGGTTGGAATCTGGTGGACTCTGGAATTGGGTTTTGAAACAAAAAGCATCAACTGTCAATCTGTGTGGTGGTTAGCTTTCCACCACTATAACAAATACCTGAGACAGTAAGCTTATAAAGATAAATATTTATTTGTATCGCAATTTTGGAGATTCTAGTCCATGATTGGTGGTGCTATAACGCCTCATGGTGCAAGTTGTGGTGGAGCAAAACCACTTACTTCATGACTAGTGAGCAAAAAGAGAAACAGAAAAGGCCCGGAGTCCCAGCTTCTCCTTTATAAGCATGACCCACAGACGTCCCGCCTTGGCTCCAGCTCCTAAAGTTTCCACCACCACACATCTAGAGGAAACAATCCTAAAATTCATATGGGGCCAGAAGAGACCCAGAATAACAAAAATAATTTTGGACAATAAGAACAAAGCAGACAGCATACCAATACCTGACCTCAAGCTATACTACAAAGTAATATTGATAAAACCGGCATGTTATTGAAACAAAAACAGATGCATGGTTCAGTGGACCAGAAATGAGGATACAGAAACCTCCCCAGACACATTTGATGATTTAATCTTTGACAAAGAGGTCAAAAGGGTATGGTGCAGGAAAGATAGCCTATTCAACAAGTGGTGCTAGGAAAACTGGTTATCTGTTTGCAGAACATTGAAAATGGATCCTTATCTTTCATCATATACTAAGTTAAAATCAAAATGGATCAAGCATCTAAACATTAAACCTTCTGGAAGATAAAATAGGTAAAACACTTGAACACATAGGTATAGGAAAGGATTTTCTAAGCAAAACCTCAATTGCACAAGAAATAGCAACAAGAATCAACAATTGCGATTATATCAGACTAAAAAGCTTCTGTACAGCAAAAGAATCAATCAGTAGAGTGAAGAGGCAACCTACAGAATGGGAAAAATTTTTGCTAGCTATTCCTCAGACAGGACTAATATGTAGAATATACAAAGAACTAAAAAAAAAAATTAAACCTCCTAAAATTTAAGACCAAGTCAAGAAATAGACAAGAGAAATTAACAGACACTTCACAAAAGAAGAAATACAAACGGTCAATAAATATATGAAAAAATGTTCAATGTCTCTGGCCATTAGAGAAATGCAAATTAAAACAATGCTAAGATTCCATCTTACTCCAGAAAGAATGGAGTAAGAAATCAAAGAATAACAAATGTTGGCATGGCTATGGTGGAAAAGGTACCCTCCTTCATTGTTGGTGGGAAAGTAAATTAGTGCAACCATTATGGAAATCAGTATGGAGATTTCTCAAAGAACTGAAATTAGAAATTTCATTTGACCCAGCTATCTCCCTGCTAGGTATCTTCTCCACAGAGCTTAAATCATCAAACTACAGTGATGCATGCATACCAATGTTTATAGCAGTACAATTCATAATAGCTAAATCCTGGAAGAAGCCTTTATAACCATCAACAGATGATGGAATGAAGAAAATGTATCTATATGTAGTGGAATGCTACTCAGCTATGAAGAATGACACTTTTGAGACATTTGTAGGAAAATGGATGCACCTGGAAAACAAACCAGACACACAAGCTTAAATACCGTATGGTATCTTTCATTTGACTGAGGCAAAGTACAAACAAAAGAAAATGATAAAAGATGGATAGAAAGGGACAAGAGGATGGATCTCTTGTAATGAGGAAATGGTCCAAGGGCAAGGGGTGGGGAAGAGGAAAAGGGGAAATAAGTAGAATAAAGATATGCCATGTACAGGAACCTAATAACCTCAGTTACTATAATCACTAAATACCATAACATGAGCCAAGACAAATAATATCAACAAGAATGGAAAAGGGGATAGGGGAACTGGAAGAAGAGGGAGGAGCAGATTAAAAAAAAGAAGCTGTGGTATGTACATGTAACCACTCCCCAAGATGACTGCAAACTACATGAATTGCAAACATGTACAATAAAATAAAAATTTATAAAAAATAATCATAAAAAATCTTTATGTTAAGTTAAAAAAAATTTTCCACCACCTTCCAGTAGTGCTTTACCTGGGACCAGACTTTTGTACAAGGACATTTAAGGACACTTACTATACAAACTACGGCCTTCTGCATACTGAAAGTATACAAATTTAGATAAGAAACAGGAAAAAAAATGCCAGGAGCCATTTATCAATTTGGAGTATAGTTTAATAATTAAGAACATAGGCTTTAGGCTCAGTGGAGTGGGTTCAAATCTTCTTCCTGTTGCCTGAGCGACTCTGGGAAGGTTAAAGTCTTAACTTTTTCCTTTTCTTTAAAGTTTAAATACTATACAGTGTCTGGCATGTAGCAAACATTCAATAGTTTAACTTTTATTCATAGTAGTTATATGAAGAACCTAGGAAAGCGCTTGATAATCTGTCCTTAGTCATGGCTTCACAGTTTGATTCAGGAGCAGGTTGAGAGATGCACACTGCTTTTGTTGTGTAGGGTAGCGGTGGAGAAGTTTGGAACTATATTGTAAGGCTCTTTACATAAAATTTAGAAAATTAAATTTGGGAGATGTTACTCGCCTGATGACTAAAAGTGATTAAGAAGGAACTGAGAATGTTGAGCAAAGAATGTTCAGCAACCCAGAACAGACAGCTCCCTGTCAGAACAGACACAATGCATTTTACATTTGAAGAAACATCATAGGGGAGAGAGAACTAACTTGCGCAATGGTACCCAATGGTGCAAGTCCAAGGGCTCCTGGTCTGTACCACCTCTATAGGGTTACTTCTCTTTGGTCTTTTAATTACTTCAGTGCCATCTTGTTACTGTCTGTCTTCTTGCCAATAATTTTGGATAGTATCATATTAGTTATTTATCTACATTTTAATTTTTCACTTCTTTTCAAGCATGATACTCACTTTAGGAAACACCAACTCTGATTTTTATTTCCTTAGATGGCTTCTAGGAATATGTGCTTTTTGTAAATAACTGAGTTAATATTTTCTAGGGTAAATAAGTTTCAGCCACTGTGTTGGCTCATTGAGAAGTTTGGATTTTTAGTTATTTATTTATAAATGGGCAATGAAAAGTTTTGTGTTTATCTGAGTTTGGATTACTACCAAAGCAGATCCTGTGCCTACAAATGACTTTCTGTGGAGATGAAACAAGGGAAAAAGTGAGAGGGAAGGAGGAATGGAAGGAGGGAGGGAGAGAGAGAGAGGAAGAAAGAGTGGAAGAAAGAGAGAGGCAGCAGACAGGAGAGGAGAAAGGGAAGAGGTGAGAAGGAAGCAGGGAGAAGAGAAGAGAGAAGAGAGGAGAATGGGGGTAGGAAGGGAGAAAAGCCAAGGAATGGTGTGTGTTAAGAGCATGTTATAAGGTTATTCCTGTGGCTGAGTGCTCACTCCTGGGCCCCTTCTGAGAAGTTGTGTGCAAATGCCAGCATTGCCCCACCAAGAAGCAAGCAGCTCGGGTACTTATCTCCCAGGTCCCACCCTTCACTGGTTGTGGGTGCCGTGGAGGCACTAACTCCTCCCATGCACAGGGCATGTTACTGTAGGAAGTCTACAGTGTGCATAGGAATTGCCCACTAGAAATGTTTGTGAACCCAGTGTGGGCCAAAGGAGATACAGGAAGGACCCTCATGGGGTTTGCCATTGTCCCTGCAGTTCAGGCTCCAGTGGTCAGCATGCATTGTATAAGAGACACTAGTTACTGTTTGAGCATATATTTGTGGAAGTTTGAACTGTGTGAGTGCAAGTAGACCAGATCTGGTCTTATAGGATAGGAATCCAAAGGGAAAATGAGGACCTTGGAGGCTGGTCTTTCCCCTCAGATACAATTCCATGCTAATCCCTCTCCCTTTTACAAGCAGACGGAGGTTCAACTTGCTTAGATCCCCTATCTGTGTTCTCAGAACATTGTCCTTAAATCACTCTGTCTTGGCTCTCTCAACTGCAGAATTAGAGATCAAAACATCAGGTTCATAGGAATGTTTAGGAGACAATGCATATTACCTTTCAGCCTAATTTTAGCTTTTTGCTTTTATCCAAGACTCTTAGGCACACATTTTGTTTTCTAGCAAAGCTGACATTGTTGTTAGCTGGTTTTAATGATAGTTTCACAGTACCAGGCCTCTTTTCTGATGTTCTTTATTATTTCTGTCAGAGAAGTGTTTCAATTAAAGTGTACACACTTGGAAGACAGGCACATGGGGCTCCTGCATGGAGAAGCCCCTCAGATATGGGGGGACAAGCCGGCCACTGCAATGTTCTCACCAGTGAGGAAGCTGGAGTCTGGGGAGCACAGGAAGGACACAAGTCCAGCACAGTCCTCAGGCTGTCCCAGTCTGTATGGAGAGAGAGGGTGGGAGTGAGTCTGGTGACAGCTTCCTCACAGCCCCTGGGCTCCCATGTGACACTGAAATCAAGGCCCCGTGGAGATGAGCAAAGAGGTATAAGTGAAATCATGTGGGTTCTACGGGGAACTTCAGAGGTCATCCCAGGCCTGGGAGAATCATCAGATCTGGGGGTAGAAGTCTGCAGAGGGATGCTCTGTGACTTTTCATCCTTCAAAAAAGTTCTGAGGTCATGTTATTTCAGATCCACAAGGGACTCTGCCTCACCATAACCTACCTCTGTATTCTGTAGAACTGGGTGATATGTTCCATAAAGACCTTGTCTTCAGTGATCTAAAGGAAAGGTCAAAAGGTTAGTGCTTTTTCAGATAGATCACATGGGCTGTACATCATGCAGACTGTATGTCTAAAGGGCTGCTGGGAGACACTATGAGATGGCCCTTGACAGAGGACTGAGTCTTCATCTGCAGTGGATCACAAAGTCTGGGACCAGAACATCAGAGGAAGAGCCAACAGGTCTAAGTTTGAGAGTCTTGGTCTATGGGGTGAGGCCTTTCTTCCAGTGGTAGTTATGCCGCTGCTCAGTGGGGTAGGAAGAGTTGCTGCCCTTGTACCTTACCACTTTGCTGAACTCTGTTTCCATGATTCCTGGTACTAGGCCATTCACCCGGATGTTCTTTGGTGCCAATTCCACTGCCAGAGTCTTGGTGAGGCCCAGTAGGGCTGTTTTACTGACATTGTAGACTCCCAGCTTCTATGGATCGAAAGGGAAATAGATTAGCAGGCTGGAATGAAGACAAGGAAGAGTCAGTTTAATTTCCTGAGTTCTGCCCAGGCAATCATCCCAGTACACTTCCTGGTTGTTCATTAAATCTGAGAGATAATGCCCCAAAGAGAGGGCAAGATGCTCTCACTAAGTGAATAAAAGACAAAGTCTGTGACACACAGTGCTCACTTTCGCAAGCAAATAGTCCCGAGGGAGCAATTGTGAAACTGATTTTCCAGATGAAAGGAGGGAGAGTTTTTCTTACCCACTGGGGAGCCACAGATAGTCCTACTTACAGAAACTGGGAGGTAGGCTGCAATGGAGGAGACCAGGACCACTGAGCCTTGCCTGGGAAAATAAAAAAGGGGACTGAGAATGAGAATAGTTGGGGCCTGGTAGAGGGATTTATCGCCATTTTCCTTTAAGTTTTCAATTATATCTCTCAAATTATATTGCCAGAGAAGCTGTGTGTCTGTGAGTTTGGTATTTTAAGGAAAAATTTGAGTGTGGATTGCATTTATTGAATGGTAATAACACTGGTCACATTTTCTATCTCTTCTTGAGTTAGTTTTGATAGGGGTATAATTTTTTAAAAAAAATTGTCTATTTTGCAATGATTTCAGTTTATGTTTGGTTAAAGTTTCTGTTATCATTCTCTTTTTATTGCCTTTGGGATCTCTAGTGGTGCCTTTTGTCTTTATTCCTGAAATGGTTATTAGTTTTTGTTTAAATGAATTTTTGGTTCTCTTGATCCTTATATTGTATTTCGTTTCCTTTTCTATTGGTTTCTGTCTGTATTATTTCCTTTTTTCTACCACTGGGCATTTAATTTTCTCCAGCACATATAATTTTTAGCTTTTATTTAATATAGACAATATTATATTCTGCTAACCACTATTGTTTACAATCTCGAAAGATTTAGTTTTGCTTCATTGTCTTTAAGAGGGATTTAAGATGTGTACTCCAAGTTGAACAGTTGAGCAGAGTACCCAGTGCAGTGTATTCTGGTGTATCTGTCCTACTTCAAACAATATCTTTTTTTTTTTTTTTTGGTACCGGGGATTGAACTTGGGTCCTTGCGCTTGTGCAGCAGATGGTGAAACCACTGAGCTAAATCCCCGGCCCTAAAACAATATCTTGATTCCCAGCTTTTCCCAGAACTATAACCATCATACTAATATTCTTCCTAGCACTATAAATTCAGTCAAAAAAAATCAAAAATTTGGTGAAACATGTCATTGTTGTCTAATCAGATTAAAAACTTTTGTGTGTGTGTTGAGGTAACGTCTTGCTAATTTGCCCAGGCTAGCCTCAAATTTGAAACCTCCCTGCCTCAGCTCCCTGAGTGCTGGAATTATAGACATGTACTGCCAAGCCCAGCTAAAGAATTTTAATTTGATTAAACATTCTGGTTTAACTATCTTTATATTTTAACTGCAGTTACTGATATACTGGGATTAACATCTAACATTCAATTTTGTGATTTTTTTTTATTGCACCAGTTTTTTTCCTTGTGAATTCTTAATTTTTTTCTTTCTTTTGTTTTTTTGGTACTGGGAATTGAACTTGGGACCTTGTGCTTGTGAGGCAGGCTGCAGAACCACTGAGCTAAATCCCTGGCCCTCCTTGTGAATTCTTTATTCTGGGTTACTTTTTCTATTTTAACTTCTTCCTCTGTTACTTTTGAACATACACTACATACTCTGTTGCCATTCTTGTAGCTGCTATTCCAGAAAACAAAACAGGCTTGTTTAGCTAATCAAAGTTTATAATTAATTTTCAAACCCTATCTCAACAACATGAAAATCTTATAACAGCTCCATTTCTGTCCTCCTGATTTGAATATTATTCTTTGCACACTTAACATTTTTAACCCTACAAAAATCATTATTGCTTTTTGCATTAGGCATTTAAATTTGATCATATATTAGTATTTTCTGTGTGTTTCGTCCTACTTCTATCTCAGAGTTTCCACATGGGTTCTTTTGTTCTTTCTGCCTGAAGTACATCACTTAGAATGTCCTTTAGTGAGTGTCTTCTGCTTAGCAGAACTGTTGTGAACATTAACTGACATGATAAAATATATCAATTACCAAGTGAAGCCAGACTCTGCAGAGGTGCCCTGAATCAGAACAGGGGACTAGGCAGAGAAAACAGGGCTGAACACCAGGGGCTCAATTCACATTTCAGGTTGGGCATCTAGCTCTGCCACAGGCACACAGGCCACAGGTACCTTAGGGTCATCAGTCTGGACCCTTGTGGCTGGTGCTTCTATAGCCCAAGAGAGGCCACTTCCATTTTTCTGATTCTAGGACAGTTGTAGGAACTCCAGTCCCTCTGTCTGTGGACCCCTCATCCTCCTTCCTGCTGAGGCCTTGCAGGGACTTCCCAGTCTCTCGTACTGTAGATCTATTTCCTAGGCACACTGATGGACTGAATTCTGTGATTTCTTTAGATGACCCATAGTCTGAAAGCCAAACTGTCACCATTCTTGTATCACTGGTCCAACTAAGCTTGTTTCCCAGCGGGAATGTCTAACTTAAAACTGGACCTTCTTACTCTTGCTTCCCAGCTTCCTGTTTGATAGGAAGCATCTCCATCTCTATTCCCCTTCCCCACCCTCACCCTCACCCTCTCTTCTCCATGAAGGGCAGCAGCTGGCTCAGAAGGAGGGCTGGTGCCTTCACATTGACGTTCATGACCTAAAATTAGAGCAAAAGAGAGGTGACGGTTAGAGGACAGTCAGTCCAGTGTTCTCACTGGGTCAGGAAATACCAGGTGAGAATGTAGGCCTGATGCCTCTGCCAAGGGAACCAAACAAGGAAGAGAATCATTTCTTTTTCTGAGCTCCACGTTTCATGACTGGTCTTATGTATATTGGACACAACCTGCAGACTGGGAGCTCCTGAACAGGCCAGACAAGAACTACAACTTAGACACCCTCCCTCCACCTCAAAGATGGGGAATTGAGGTTCATAGAGTCTAGGCACCTGACCTTGATCTGTGCTAAAAGAGTCTATGATGGGTGGGGAAGGGGGGTGGAAAAGTGAGAGCTGAGGAGCAGCTCTGGGTGTGTCAGCTGAGCTGGAGAGTTACCCTTAAGGGGAGAGTTATCCTCACCACCTCCCTGCCATCTTCCCCAGTTCTCACCTTGTCCCAGATCTGCTCACTGCTCCCCAGGGTACTTCCCACCAAGGGGTTGACCCCTGCTGTGCACACCAGGAAGTCCACACCCTCACAGTGTTTCAGAGCCTGTAGGAGAGAAGAGGGTGTTGAGGACCAGAATCAAGGAGAGAAAGGTTTGTGTAGCAGTGAGGTAATTCCTCTTTGATATCTGTGGGCTATGTCTGGGTCAAATCTGGGAGAGGAACAACTCCAAGTGAGGATGGAGAACTGATAGATTTCCCTCCAAGTTAGGGTGGCTGCTGTATATAATAGCTACCTTCTTTCCAACACGCCCCTACTCCCACCAAAAGAGTAACCTGATGCTTGCTCTCTTCCTGGCAACTAGTGACATCACAGGCTCCTCCAGTCCCTAGCCACTACCTCACTCAACCCCACCTCAGCTCCTACAAGCCCCTATAAAAGGCACTTGCTGTCCTGGCCATATTGCTTTTGTCTCTCCTTTGTTCAGAGACAGC